GGGAGGGAGAGGCAGGATTAACCCCTCTCGGTACAGCAGTCCTGCCACTGCATTTGAACATCTAGGGCTGGTTTGGGGTGGGAAGAGTTAAATCTGAGGGATGAGAAAGCTCATTTTGCAGAGCAGATCGCAGCTCTGCTCTCAAACCTTTCGATCACGCCGAGGATACTTGTCACACATCTGCAAGAAACCTCCCTGGGCAGCCTTACCCACGCAGAGAGGTTAACATCCCTGCGGCCAGATGTTTGTCAGCGCTGCCTTTTTTTTTTTTTTTTTTACTCATTTGCTGCTACCCCACATGAGGATACAATTCCCTTTGCCACCATCGCTGCTGCTGCCCTGAGCTGCCCTGGGGAGGTGTCCAAAGAGAATCCCATGACAGCCTCTCCACAGCAGCAGCTCAGTGCTGGTCTCTGGGACTTGGTGGGGAGGAATCGCAGTGACCTCGGCCTGGCCAGGCTGGATGAGAGCGTGTCCGTCTGCTCTGACGTTGTGCCTAAGGCGCCGGCCAGAAGCCAGCGGTGCAGAAGGAAAAAGCCTCCAGCCATTTCTTGGCAATGTGCAGAGGAGGAAAACATGGCAAGGGCACAGGGGAGCTCGGAGGGAGTTCACAGAGCCTCACGGGTGTCTCCCCTCCTCACCCCTTTTTCCAGGGTGGCAGTTCAGACCCTGCCTGGCACCCCAGGAGAGCTCAGCCCTGCCCGTGCCGCTCGTCCCTGGCCCCAGGCACAGCACCAGGTACGGGCCAGGTCTCGCTCTGACAGAGCTGCCCTGCCCGGATGAATTTTGGACTCCTTCACACTGGGAATTCAGACTTGGCAAACCCCATCTGGAAAAGGCATTCAGCATGGCTCTGTGCTGGGGCCCTTAAACCTTGTGTGACCTTGGCTGCGGCAGGGCCACATGCCACCGGCCCCGGGGCTGCGCTGAGACACACACAGCAGAAGGGTCTGAAAAAAGCAACTGAATCATCTGGGTAAGGCTGTAACTAGCCAAACAGCAGACCCTCTTTTTGCTACAGCTGGCTGGAAAAATAGCAACCCACACCAGTCCTGGGATGTAGCTCCAGAAGCCTCAGGCCCAAAGCTGAGGTTCAGCATCCCACCCCAAGACACCCCCATGCTACCCCCCCAAAGTGCTGCAGGGGAAGA